TTTTTTTTTTTTTTTTTTTTTTTTTTGGTTGGTTGGTTGATTGGCTTCTGAGCTAAGGGTTATATAGGCAGAAGAAAAACAAGTTTTAAATATGGACTGGGGAAATAGGGTCTTTGAAAAGATAAGTATACCCAAGAGGAAGAGGAAATGGCTAAATACCTCTAATCTATTAAGATAAGGCTATTGATATAAGAACACAATAGTCAACTTTGATTTAAAAAATCATTATAAAAATCTAGTTGGGTAATAATGGGGTAATAAATGTTCAGAGTTACATAACCCCGTCAGCAACAAAATCTTAGCCTTGAATAAAATATAATTTACTGTTTCCTAGAAGGCTTTTTCATTGTTGGTTTTTCCTCATTGTTATTCTTACTAGAACTTAAGTGGACCCCCAGAAAGAATTTAATTTTATGGTTTAAAAAAAAAGAGCTCAGAAGAATGAAACATAAACCAATTCCAAACTATAACTTTGACATGGAGCAAAATAAGAAAGCTCTAATCTCTTAGAAAACAGGTGTAAAACTATTGGATAATCTTTACATGTCACATAGACTCTCGGGTATTGTCCTTTAGACATTTTTCAGATACTCCTAAAAAGTGCTGATTTCATGTATTGTCCCATTGTCAGATATTCATACAAAAGTCTTTGAAAACTTTATCACTTTAGTTATTCCTTATTACCATTGAAGGTAGGCAGAAAAGTAATTATAACTCATTTTACAGACAAGAATGGACCATATTTCAGAGATTTGTTCAGGATAATCTGACAAAGCCAGGACTAGAATTTCAGGGACACCTGGGTGGCTCAGTTGGTTAAGTGCTGGACTCTTGATTTTGCCTCAGGTCATGATCTCGTGGTTCATGAGATCAAACCCCACAATGGGCTCTGTGCTGACAGCATGGAGCCTGCTTGGGATTCTCTGTCCCTATCTCTCTCTTCCCCTCTCCCCCACTCACTCTCTGTAAATAAATAAATAAACAAACTTAAAAAAAAAGGAACTAGAACTTCAGACTCCTGGTACAATATTTTCTCTGTGTATACTCCATCTTCTATTGAGTGGGGTTCCTTTATGCTGGTTTGGTAGCCTCCAAATCCACCACCAGGTAATTTAAGAGGAACACATTATTTGACTTATGAATGAAATTTTATTAGTTAAAATCTGTTAAAACACATAGCAATAAAATGATGTGCATCAATAGCAAATAAGGATTATACAAACTGTAATAACTGGCGTTAATCATCACATAAAGATATAACTATGTAATCACAACTGCTCATTGCACATTAGCCAAAACACACAAGGATAGACTTGTGCTTTCTAATTGCCATCTATCAACCTAACTCCCTTGGTTTTCACAGCTTTAAGTTTGTCTCAAATGATGAGCCTGTCTCTCTATCCATCCATGCCATACAAGACTTGCCTTTGGTGTTAGTCTCAAGAAGATCCAGAGAAGGGCTAGTTTAAATAAAGGGCCAGCCACTCTCTCCAGTCTCCTGGAGGAGAAATCCAAGATTCCAATCAGAAGCCCAATCAGGGGCACCTGGGTGGCTCACCAACTTCGGCTCAGGTCATGATCTCACGGTCTGTGAGTTTGAGCCCCGCGTCGGGCTCTGTGCTGACAGCTCAGAGCCTGAAGCCTGATTTGGATCCTGTGTCTCCCTCTCTCTCTGCCCTTCCCCTGCTCACGCTCTCTCTCTTTCTCTCTCTCTCTCTAAAATAAAATAAACATCAAAAAAAATTAAAAAAAAAAGAAGTATCCAATCAGTGGACTGCCGAGTTAATGTATTTCCCTCTAATTGTCTTTTAAGTGCATGACCTGTGTCAGCTGGCAAGCAGCTATTTCTATCAATATCACCAACTTAGGGTTGGCTAATTTGCATATGACAAAAACAGGGACTTGTTCATAAACCTTCTTAGGAACTAACTATACCATGGCTTTCCACCCTAAACAGTTGCATGACTATTCACAACTCTATTGCTTTTCTTCTCTCTCCTTGAAAATACTTCCTTACTGGCTCTTATTCCTAAGTATTTTATTATTTCCTACACTTATTTCTTATCACTATCAACTCTATTTCTAATCCTAATGTCTAATTCTGTTCTGTAGAGCAAACATACTTAATACAACTACTCATTGTTTGGAACAGGGTTGCATCTTAACAATTTCTAAACACATATAATCACACAATCAGAGCAAACAATGGGATATATTTTATCTAATCCTAAGGTGCCATTATAGTACAGTCTTTCCACATCTAGTCAGGAGGCAAGCCAGCTTCACATGTTATGAGGTTGTAGCATCTTCCAGGTTTGACATGTAAGGACCATGTTGACCATTAGTTGTTTTATAGGCTGGTTCAAGCTTCATCTTGTTTCAAGGCCTTGGAGTAGTCCCACAGATTTCTCATGATGTATTTGAATAACCTGCTTGAGTTGGTATGGTTGCTGGTGTTTTCTCATTAATATTCACTTTTTTAAGAAGCTCGCACTAATCCGTCGTGGTGTTGTTCTGAAGTCTATATTCCAGAGTTCTCCTTGGGGGACTAGCTACCCTTCAGCATCTATCATATTTGAGGAGCACCGGATCTGTCCATTTACAGTTAAATCACTCGCTAAATAGAATTTGTAGCAGAATGGTGGTCTTTCCTTGGATGTTTCCGGATCTTGTCGAAGTACTCATGCTTTGCGTTTTATTTTGACACAAAATTATAGCCCAATTTCCTAAAGTCCAAATTCCTAGTGGGAGAGTATATAGCTTCCCTGGCTGTTTCTAAACCTTTAATTAAAGCATAGATTCTATCTTTTCACTTTTATCCAATTTCTCTGTTATTCTTCTTGGTTGCTACATGTATAGATTTCCTTGTTTAACTGTTACCACTAATCTTCCTTTAGAAAAGTGCTCCTAATGGAATGATGGGATAAACCATTTCTTCTTGTTTTCCCAGCACTATATTTTAGTTAATTTGGCACAGTCCCTTTGCACTGCATCTCTTATTTTCCATTTTGGACATACTACATAGTTAGAGTCCCCTACCCAAGGAAAGTAATGCTCAATTTGTCCAATTAGTACAGCAGCAAAGTCCCTCAATCTGTTGTCTGGTATGGCTTGTCATTATACACAGTAGTTGCTTGATGATAAAACTTGGATTTCTCCTCTTTGTCTTTGTTCATCCATCCAAGTGTCCTGGATCCTCCTCTACTCTTTCAGTCTTTCAACATAGCAGTCTTCTGTGGAACTTTCTCATGCTAACATGTTTGAGTAGCTCCGTAAGTTCTTCTGATTTTCAAAAGGGTCTTTGGTAGCTTTTTTTTTTTTTTTTTTTGATACAGCAGTCTTTTTCTTCAATTTGTTACATGTACTTATCCTGAAATTCTGTGGCAAACTGGTTTATGTCCCTCCTGCTTACTGCTCATCCAAACAAGACCTGGCTGTGTAGTCTATAATTTCCACCCTCCATTTGCCTTTAAAAGCAGCTAATTGTCTATGTATGTAGACCTCGCTTAGGATTAGATGCAGCATCTGTATTTTAATCTTTTTGACAATAATATGCTTTACTACTCTATATGAATTGGTATAGTGTGGTTTCCATCTACATGGATGAGCTTCTACATGTCATTTCTTCACAATTTGCATATGTCAATTTGTCCTAGTGACACTTTTATGTCTTTGCCGAGTTGTTGGCCGTGTTAAGAGATGCAAAGGCCATTCCCTAGGAAGGAGGACCACAGTGTCCATGCACTTGTATGAAGGGTAGCTGTTTTTCCAAATGGAAATGAGACTACTGAATGGCATGGGAATTAGTATGACCAATGAATTCCCCATAAATTTACTGGGTCTCTTTCTGTTTTGATATGGGGGGGGGGGCAGTCCTCCAACTACTCCATTTTACCCTTCTGGTATTTCTAGAATTATTGTGGCTAAATACCAGTCCATATTTTATTTAAGTTAATTATTGCTCCCATATCGTAATAGTTAAGATTTCTGTGTCAAGGTTGCAGCAGGTTAACTATAATAAGCCTATCAACTATTCTTTATAAATCTAACTATACTAAAGAAGATATACTTTATCCCCTTCCATTTGTGGACCATCATCTCTGAGCCTATGCCATAAAGCATTTGACTCTCCATTGGTGAACAGCCCTTGTAGGGCTTTGTTTAGGCCTTCCAGTGATAGTACTACTCTCTTTGTTATCTGGTATAATTTGCCCTTTCCATTTGGAAAACCATATGGAAGACTCATTGTAGTGTGCATTTGAGGGAACAATCGTGCATCGGAACCTCTTGGCCTCAGCTTTTTCAAAGGTTTCTCCCTGACAAAAGTTATCCAAAAACTTTTCTACAGTTTATCAGCTTTTTCAAAATTGCACCCTTTAGTTGACACATCCTCTCCTCAAGGCCTAGCAAGTAGTTATATCTTTTCCAGTAAAAGTGTCCCAATGTTGTTCTGTCTGTGTGATGTATTCACTATAATACCATCGTGGGGGATATTCCTTTTTTGGTTTCCATTCATAGAACAGTGAAATTGGGTTCCAAAATGTGATCTATCCATGAGGTCTTCACTCCACTGTTAGGTGAGAAACTTCTTGTTATGCTATTGTTTGCTTCTGTTCTTAGGAATTCTAACAGGTGAACAAGTGCAAGCAGGGAAGGAATCATAAGGCTCAAGTCAGAGCTTTTAAAAGGAATATAAAGAGGAAAAGAGACCAGCTTCTACTGGCAGTAAATCTAATATTACTTGTTCTATAAGGTATTAATAATGAAAATGTACGGAACTAGGAGAAAACTCATTGCTAACACTAAGAAAAATCAGAATATCTTTAAAACAGAAAAACTATCTGCTCTCACGTGCCGGTGGGGGCATGTGGTCTTATCCACTCCTTAAGTCATCGTTTAGGCCAGAGAGAACATCTTCATATAAGTCTTCTATGTCTAACATTGCTTGATCTATGTCAAGGATTAGGTCTTCATCCTCTCTTGGTGTAAGTATTGATTCTAAATCTGAGAGCTCAGCGAGCTCTGGCAGCGTATCTTCTTCTTGAGGAAAAAACGCAGCTGCTCCCATCACTTGTGCTGCACCATTTTGCCCTGCACAAGGCAGTTGCTCTCGTGCAATCAGCTGTAAAAGCTCTTCAGCGATCCTTATTAGCTGGGCAATACAATCAACAAGCCCATCAATCAGCACGGGGATTGACACGGACTCCATACCTCAATGACCTCCTCAGTAGATAAATATTATTAAAAGCTGTAGCTCTTGGTGACAATGGATCCTGTGGGACTGGCAATGGTACTATGGTTGGAAAACAAAGCAGATCTAATAATAGAAAAGAGAAACATAAAGATTAGTATCCTTGAGCCTTTATCTATCCCACAGTTTCTGGCTATAGGCTGAAGTTAAAAGAGCATCCCTAGTTACTGATCCTCCTTTTTGTTGGCCTTATGAGGATCTACTACTCCACTCTCTTTCCTTTATACTTCTCGTTCTCTCTTCATAGAGGAATTGAGGGCAAAGGGAGTATAGGTTACTTGTCCGTCTTTCACGAACATCTCTATAGAGGAAGTTATATTCACTCAGAGTCTTTCAATTAATTCTGTCTTTATTAGCACTTTACCCCATTGCCACTTATATCTGGTGCTGCTAATTCTTTCTGTGTTTTTAGCATCCCATTCATTAAGGTTTCCAGCTGCCCCTCCAGCCTGGGGAATTTGTGAAATGAAAGTCCCACAGCCGTTGTCTTTTGTCAGATTTTGGACAACTTCTGTTATAACGCTAGCTCCTTGGTCATTTCCTATTACTGCCAATATTTCACATCTAGCAGCTAGTTTCTTCAATTTTGTCTAAAGCCGTGGACATACGATTCTCATCTGCATGTCTGGCGTGTTCTGCAAAACCTCTTCCTCAGTTTATACTTGTATGAGGCAATATTCGTTGTTTCAAAAAAATCTAAAGATTGGCCCAGTATAATCTACGTCGCATATGTGTCTGGTTTAACATGACCTCTTAAAAATGAGTTTGTTGCAGATGCAAGTTTTTCATAATTTGACATGTCTCGTCGTATTGCTAATTCGTTTGTTTGATTCATACTTTTCTCCCCACTCTTCCTCATCTAGGACATTCATGTCCATAAGTCCTGAGGCTTCACGTGCTCATTTTGCAACCTTAAATTGAACTGACAAGGGAGCTGAGTTGGGACTTGGAGTCCCCAAGACTGTAGAGTCTACATTAGTTTGGGGGGTCAGATTATCTCCTCTTTTAATATTCTGTCTTTCCATTCTGATGAGTTGGTATATATCCTACATAAATTGCTAAATTTCTTTCGTTGATTTATTTTCATATCTCCCTTCACCAGATTGTTTTCCCTGCAATAGTCCAGTCTGTAATTTTCCATTTATTATGGCATACATCTCCAGTCCATGGCTGACCAGTTTAGCTATATACCTTTGACCAATTATTTTTGCTGGTATATATGCACATTGAATTTCTAGCCACCAGTCCTACAAATTGGGCTGGTTTTTATTTTTCCAGCCTCAGTCAAGTGTTTCCTAGTAGAAAGTATTAGGGAGCAGCTATCTGTCTCACTCCTTTAGGATATTGCCAAATCTATCAATACCCTTTTCTAACAATTCTGACCAGAGCGCGGCCCAAAAACCACAGGCATTACCTCCAGCTAACTGTACTCCTTAGACCTTTATCAGAGTACAGTAAACCACTGGCCAGAGGATCTGTGATTTTCACATGGAGCTTGCTGGTCTCCACAGGACCTGCTTTGACCCACTCACTTATATACTATCTCCATTTAGCATAAGTTTTTTCAGAACCACACATTTTTCTTTGTCCAAAAATCCTGACAGTACACATAAAGTTTGCCCCGGTAAGGATCACAGCCATGATGACCAGAAGGCACAATTATGGTTGGAGGTAACTTCCCCTCTGAAATATGGGAGAATGGATATTAGAGGTTATTTTATTAACTTAAAGAATCTCTGCTTTTCGATTAGAGAAAAAGCAGTTTGGTGGAAGGAAATAATGGAAAGAAATCATGCAAGGAATTTGGCATTACTGTAGAGCATATATCAGCTCTTCGGAAGGGAAACACAAAAGAAAGATGTGTGTTAAATATTACTAGAGAGTACCATCACATTTTTCAAAGGAAGCAATAACCTATTATGACACCTTTAGCCCAAGGGCACAAGACAAATATACTCGCACAAAACTTATTTGACTTCTGGCGTCTCTTTTACCCATTTTGTTTCTCAGCTTCTCTACCTCCCACTAGAACTCTTTTTATTTCTCCTCTTGCTCAATATACCTCCATTTATTCACCTCTGTGTTTCATTCTACTTGACTCTATCTGTATCTCCATCTTCCACTATCCCTTCCCATCATCTTTTCTTCCATCTCTCCCGAAACTGGGCAAAACTGCCAAAATAGATTGTATCTCACTTAAATGAATTGATATTGATTTGACAAACTTTTACGTTCTACAATCTAAATGTAAAATGCAGAGAGGTAGCACATTTCATATTTTGCTGTTTTATAAAGATAAATGTAGCTACTTATTACATACACAAACCTTGATTTATTTCTTCTATCACTTGGTCACCTTTAAGGGGGAAAAAATTCCTGACCTAGCCTTAACCCTGTTGACCATCGTGTTAACTAATCCACAATTCCTATCTTCAAAGCATCTTGAAACCTAGGACCTGGGGGTTTAGGGAAGGCAAGGAGGATGTTGAGAAACTACTAAGTACTGTAGTACTAAGAAAGAGGAAAAGTATAGCATCAGGGTATTCCAGTTGTGGTAATTTTTAAAGCAACCAACTTCTGACACCTTAGTTTGCTTAAAGGGGTATTTTGGATAGTTTGTGCCTAGCCTCAACTTACATTAAGGGCCCTTTTTTTTATATAACTCTTCCGTATTTCGTTTTTTATTTTTATTTGTGTTTTATTGAGGTCAAATTGGTATATAACATGAAATTCGTTTCAGGTGTACAACATAATAATTCGATATTTGCATATATTACAAACCGATCCCCACAATGAATCTAGTTACCACCCATCAGCATACAATTAACGCCCTTCACCCTTTTCACCCAACCCCCAACCCCCTTCTGCTCTGATAACCACTGATCTGTTCTCTGTATTTATGACTTTTGCTTTGTTTTGTTTATTCATTTGTTTTGTTTTTTAGATTTCACATATATAAGTGAAATCATATAGGATTTGTCTTTCTCTGCCTGACTTATTTCACTGAGCATAATACCCTCAAGGTCCTTCCCTGTTGTTGCAAATGGCAAGGTCTCTTTCTTTTTATGGCTGAGTAGTATTCTATCGTGTATATATACCACATCTTCTTTATCCTTTCATCCATTGATAGACATGTATGTTGCTTCCAGGTCTTAGCTATTATATAATGCTGCAGTGAACATGAGGTGTGTATATCTCTTCCGATTCTGTTTTTATTTTCTTCAGATAAACACCCAGAAGTGGAATCACTGTTATCATAGGGTAGTTCTATTTTTAATTTTTTGAAGAACCTCCGTATGTTTTCCACAGTGGTTGCACCAATTTATATTTCCACCAACAGTGTTATGAAGGTTCCTTAAAGGCCTTTTTATTAGCTATTCCCTCTACCTGGGATCCCTTTTCCCCAGGAAAAAAAAAATGGATGGCTTCCTGTCATTCTGGTCTCAGTTTAAAGATAATCTCCTCAGATTTCTGACCCTCAAGCCTAAAAAACTCCCCTGACCATCCCTTTCCCAAGCATACGGTGCATTTTTGCATTATTGTACCGATAGGTTGGAGGGAGGGACAACTACTACTAGCTCTTTCATTCAGTAAATATTTATTAAGTTGCAGCCGGGGTAGCAAGGGGTAACAAAGATAAACCGATTCATCAAAACACACCAGAAACAAAATGAGCAGCAGTCCACAGGCTGAGAAAATATTCACAAAGCAGATATCTGACAAAGAACTTATAACCAGAATATACAAAGAGCCCCTACTGGGGGATGGGCTGTGGGGGAAATGGGTGAATGGAGCCAAAAGGTACCAACTTTCAGTTGTAAAATAAATAAGTTATGGGGATGTAATGTATAACATGAGGACTAAAGTGAATAATATTGGATGGCATATTTGAAAGTTAGTAAGAGAGTAGATCTCAAAAATTATCATAACAAAAAAAAGTGTTTTGTAACTATGTACGGTAACCAGATGTTAATGACATTTATTGTGGTGAATATTTTACAATATATACAAAGATCAAATCATTGTCTTGTGCAGCTGAAATTAATCTAATGGTGTATGTCAGTTATACCTCAATAAAAAAAAACAGTGCCCCTACAACTCAATAATAAAAAGATATAAACCAATTAAAAACTGGGCAGAAGATATGGACAAACATTTCACAAAGGAAGAAAAATAAATAGCTAATAAGCACATGAAGGCATATTCAACATCATTAGTCATCAAAGATATACGAGTTAACTTCACAATAATACTCTAAACTGGCTAAAATTAACGACTGACAACACCAGATGTTGACCAAAGATGTAAAGTAACCAGAATTCTCACACATTGCCGGCGGGAGTGTAAAAGGGTACAACCTCTTTGAAAATGTCTTGCAGTTTCTTATAAAACTAAGCAAGCACACACTTGATCCCAGCAATTCCACTCCAAGGTATTTACCCCAGCGAAATGAAATTCACAAAAAGACTTTCAGAAAAATGGTTATAGCAGCTTTATGCATAATAGTCCATAATAGCACAAAAAAACAGCTGTCAATCAAAAGGAGAACGGATGAACAAAATGTGGTATATTCGTACAATGTAATACCAATCAGCAAGAAAAAGAAAGCCAATACTGATAGGGACCACAGCATGAATGCATATCAAAAACATTATACTTAATGAAAGAAGTCAGACATGAAAGAATGCATGCTGTATGATTCCATTCATATGCAATCCTAGAGAATGCAAAATGATCTATGATGAAAAAAAAAACAGAATAGAGGTTGCATCTAGGGGAGCAGGAGCAACATTTGCCTCACTCGGGCCAGACCTGACATCTCATTCTAAGCAGGGATAGAATTGAGAATTCTAAACAGGGATAGCATTGAGAATGTTAATCTCATTTGCCATCCCTGGAAACTGGCTGAAATCCAAGTTGACTGTGAGTCCTAAGGCAGAGGGATGGAGACATCCTGA